TTTTAATGTAAAGGACAAGACAGTAGTATACATAACCAGAAAGAAGCTTGTCTTGGATTAGTGCTATAGCCTAGCGAAGTCTGCATATACGGTCCTATAGAGAAGTAATGTGTACAGTCAGGACTCAGAACAGATACAGTTGCTAAATTACCTCTATTTGCGCGCGCGAAATAATATATATATATAACTTTTCGTTTAAGCATAAATGATAATCAAAGTGGAGAAGTTGTCTTTGATGTTTTATGAATATTCTTTATTTGAACTCGGCAGTCGTCACACACCCAGAGAAGAAGGATATTATCTTCTCTTCTTGATGATTAATAAAGTGGAGACAGATTTTTATTCCAATCGTACAACTCAGTTGATTAAAGCATTATCACTATCACATGGTACTACTTGGAGGAACAATTATTGTGCCGATTTTCATCATTTTGCTGAATTGATTTGTAATCTCTGAAGTCAGATCCAGACTAATTTGCAGAACTGATGGGTTTATATTCAGCACTGAATCCTGACCACCCAGTTCCCCAATTACGGGCCTGCAAAAATATGATTAATTTATTCATTAGTATTAATTAGAAAATGGTTTTATAAATAAAAAAATACTAAAATTAATTAATTGATTAATTACCGCGGAGATGTTATTATAGATACACATTCCATGACTTCATCGGCGGCCGATACAGTGACCGTGAAAAACTTCGGCACCACAAAAAGTTGACCGGTCTTAACTTCGTCATCCAGCGTAAGGTTTCCGTTCAAGCCTACGATCTGCACCTTGCCGCTTCCTTTTGCAACGTATATCACTTGTGTTGAACCATCGGCTGTATACGTTGGCGCCCGTACGGCGCAGCGTTCGAGCTTCAATCTGGTGGCACTCAACCCAACATCTTCAAGGAAAGGAAACTTGGCTCCCGTTAGTGTAATAAACGAACCACCATTCTCCACCGCAACATCAGGCGGTGAATTTTCGATGCTTCTGGTCCACGTATTAGCGATGTCGGTGGAATAAACTGGAATGCTGTTTGCTTCTTCTTGGCTGAGCTTGATGATGAGAACTCCCTTCTGGCTTCGAGCTATTTTCTGTGCTTTGTTTGCATCCATACTGAATGCTTTTCCGATCAATTCAGGCAAGAAAGCGGTGAGGTTTCCTTGAGCGCCGGTTAACAGGAAATAAGTGATTTCGCCGGGAACCCAAGCCTTGGAAGTTTCTCCGATGAAGGTTATGATCAGATCCGATGGACCATGGTTGTACCACCACGAAACCGATCCGAGAGGAACGGGAATAATGTCTCCTTTTTGTAGGGCTATGTATGCCGCCGTCCCCTTATCTTTTCCGCCTGGAGTTATCAATCCGGCGCCACCTTTTTCGCCTGTATTCAACTTTGTAACATTAATGGAGAAAAGGTTGAACGCTTAACTAAGGGCTAATAAAAAGGGCTTTCATTCCTCACTTTATTCAATGAAGTGAACAGGGAAGAAAGCTTACCTTGAAGAACAAAACCGATTTTAGAGCAATCAGCGTAGTGAGGAAGAGCAAAACCCCGCGGCTTCAACACAAGCTTACCGGCGGCAACTTTGGCCTGACCAAGAACGGCCGACTCAGAACTCGACCAGTTGTAGTATGCTCCGCCTTCTCCTTCAAAAAACGTCCTTGGAAACTTGGGTGATAAATCCATGTCAAAAGCTAAGAAAATTAATCAAAACAGAAGATCTGCAAGAA